AAGAAGCAGGCTTGAGAGCAGCAGTCAAGATAAGTTGAGGTCGGGGGCCTGGAAGATAGAGCTGTAGGGCCTGTGTTCCTTGCACAGGAGGGACTGAGGCCAGGGGAAAAGACAATCTATAGGCACTCAAAGTTTCTCCACCACCCCGCACTGTGCAGAGGCCAGTGCTGAGCCAAGCTACCACAGATGCTATCCAGCCCCTGCAGAGGAGCCACCATGCACATTGCATAATCCAGGCCGGGCTCAGTGTGGTGGCCTGCCTGTGACCCCAGCACCCAAGAGGCTGAGGCAGGAAGATCACTGTGCCTTCTAGGCCAGCCTGAGCTACATAGTGAGTTCACGGCCTACCTGAACTATGTATGCAGCAAGATCCTGTTTCAAAAAGTAAACAGAAAAAGCCAAAACCAGGGCAGGATGCTGGTGGTAAAGGAGAGAACAGGCCCCACCCAAAGGGGCAGGAACAGTTCAGAGTAGCCCTGCAAAAAAGTTAAACTGGGATAGCCACAAATACTCATTTTTTTCCCCAAAAGAACCTTAAAACTGTACATTTTAACCAAAGCAAAACAATAACAACAACAAAAAAAAACCTCTTCTATTTTTAAAAGGCAGCCCAACTGCTTTAAAACAAGGGGCTGGCCACAAAAGCCATTTGCAGGCCAAGTGCAGCGCACCCAGCACACCTGCTTGGAACTGTTTCGACTCAGCCTCGCCCAGACCTAGGCTGCTGACAGCCTGCCTGGGGTGAGGCCCAGAATTTAAGGTCTGGGTCCAAGATGGTCTTCAGGCCAACTTTTGAGTCAGCAGATGATACTCATTATCACTATAAATAGCTGATAACTTCCGGCACAATCTCCGAGGGCAGCCTCTGACCAGCAAGGGATTAACTCACTGCCTATCACTGCAGGAGCTTCATTTAAACTTTGATTTTTATGCCATTCTTCAGATACTAGGTTGAACTCAAAATCAAAAGTTCTTCCCGAAGACAGAGCTTTGTCAATCCCAATGGTTCTTCCAGATCCCAGTCACTGGAGTGCAGCAGAGCCTGCACAAGTCGCAAGCTCAAGAAAGATTTACATCAGCCAGACAGGAAAATGCTGGCATACCGGAAGGTGTCAAGTTTGGAGACCAGGCAGGTATTTTAGTCTTGCAAAAACAATCTAGTTTAGAAATCCTAAGTCTTTATAAAGGTGCTACCTGTAGAGGTAAGAGATATATATTACTGCACCTAAAGGAAAAACTTCTAATGTGTCTGGTTTTAAGCCTGGACATTGTGAGATCAAGGCCAGCCTGGACTACACAGTGAGACAGTCTCAGAAAAAAAAAAAAAAAAAAAAAAAAAAAAAAAAATTACCTTCTTTAGCAGCCTATCCTTTTCACCTAACTCCTATTTATTTCCTATGTGGTCCATTTGGCCATAGACTTGCTGTGTCTCCGCATGCAGTTCACAGTGCAGAGTTAGGACTGGCGTTTCTTCAAGGTGACGTTTATTGAACTAAAGCAATGTTAACTGCTACTAGTCAACTGCTGTGACTTACAGCATGAGCAATTCTACCTGGCTAAACAGCGCAGTATTAGAATGTGATGAAGAAAAATAAAGAGACTGTCTCCCTCTGTAATTCAGTGTTACTTTAAACTCATTATGTAGCCCATGTTGGCCCTGAACTTTCCTCAGTCCTCCTGCCTCAGCCTCCTGAATGCTGGCATTACAGGTATGCACCACCATACCCGGCAGGAACAGATTTAAATGTGTAAGAGCAGCAGCTGCCCAGGGCCAACGCTGTCTGACCAACTTTCTGAGGATGGGAATGATCTCAACCTGTGCTGACCAGTATGTGAGTACTAAGCACTGGAAACGTGGCTCAGAAACTGAATCTTTCATTTCATTAAGCTGTCTTCGATCTAATCCTATCTGTGGCAACAGGGCTGGACAACACCTCTCCTGACAGCAGCCTCATTCTTAGAACGCCGTCCTGCACACTTGCAGGCATTGTATTTGAAGACCTCCCAGAGACACTGCGTAAAGAAATGGAATTCCAAGTGCCCTCCTGCACTGCCACACTTCTAACCCACTCTCTAAGTTCTTGATACTAAAACTCTTAATTTCAATATCCTAGATCTGTGTCCTCCCTCGGGTAATTATCGTCCCAGAAAAGTAGACCTGTCCAGCCCTACAGCACATTCAGAAAGCAGAGACCTATCACTAGCAGCTGGCAGCAACAAGCGTTAGGCCCAACAACCTCCTGACCTGTGTGGCCTCTTCATTCTTAAGCCACTGAACGGGTGAGAATCAGACCAACCCCACAAGATGGGGCTGCTCAGAGGCCTAAATCTACATCAGAGTCATGCAATTATTATTATTATTATTTTTTATTTTTTTTTTTTTTTTTTTGACACAGGGCCTTACTATGTAATCCAGGCTGGCTTCGAACTTGCAGTGATCCTCTGAGAGCTGGAATTACAGACATGGGTCACCACAGCCAGCTACTATCTGATTTTTTTTTTTTTTTTGGGAGTTTCTATTTTATCATATGTTCACACTTTTATTTTTTATTACTTTTTATTTTTTTCAAAGTTTTATTGATAAACAGATAGCAATGAGACAGTTTCAAATCAAATCGGAAGTACAGTTTCAACAAATAATACACTGCATATATTCTTCTTAGCTACTATCTGATTTTAACAGTAAATCTTATAAAATCACTTCATAACTACTGAGAATTCTGTAACAGGGTACTCATCTACCTCACTTAATCGGTGTTAATTACAGAAACCTCCACTCTCAATCCCCAAGGTCCCCTTTTCACCCTCATCCCTCCATGGACTTCTCGAGACTAGGCTGGCCCTGCAGCCCTGCCACCACGTTGGCACTGCTCAGCCCAGGATGTGCAGGGAGACCGTGCAGCCCCTCCATCATAATTCCGATGGATTACCCCACACACACCAGAAACAAGATTTTGGTAAAGAAAAATCTGTCTCAAAAGAGCTACTGCCTCTACCTCTGTGCCATTCATCTGTAGTTAAAGCTTCTGGCCATAAAAGAACAAGTAAGAAGAATTTGGAGTCCTGCACTTTTAGAAGGTATCCCTGCTACATAAAAAAGCTATATTCCAATTAAATCATTTGCATTCAACCATTTAAACGGAGTTCGGTGCTACATAATTACTGCAGCCTGTAGAGTTAGGGCTCATTCCAGCAAAGAATGTAACTGCTCAAATGTGACTCCATTCGGGATTTATTTAAAAATCTCCCATCAACAAATATATTCCTACACCATGGCACCCCTCTAACTCTCTTTGTAGATGTTGACAAAGATGTCTCAGTAGTAAAAGAAACAGTTCTGCTATAACACAGATCCAAACCCAAGAATCCTTGTCGGCCTCCTCCAGTTCGAAGGGCCCTGGAGCCCTGCAATCCAGCTTCTCCCGCTCCTGTGAAGGGAAACTTACTACCAGGCTGCCGGGACCTCTCTTCCTTTAAAGGCTTAGAGAGGGAAGTTCACATCCAGGACCTCAGAACCGGAAGCTACTTCTGGAAGGGAAACCAGTTGGCAGGCCACAGTGGGCCGACCTTTGAAAGTTCACAAACGAACTACAACGAACAGTTAGGCAGCGGGCTGCAGTCTCAAAGATGTCTCGCTTAAGAAGAACACAAGCCAAGTGCGTGGGGGAGGTGGGTGGTGGGAGAACACTTCTGACCTGAACAGGGCCAGCATCAAATGTGAGGTTCTCCTGGGCCTATGTCCTCAAACTCTAGAAAATTCCACACAGACAGCCAAACCCGGACCCGGAAGGCATCGGCATCCAGAGGGAATGGCCCAGCAAACAGTGACGTGGGAGGCTTCATTTCCTTGGTGCTTCCCGGTGCCTCCTGACCTCTGACCTCCGGGTTATTGCCACACAGCCTTCTATTTGCACAAGGTCCCCGGCACTTTCCTGCCTGGCCCTTCCCTGCCTGGCCCGCTGACCCTGTCCTGAGTGGGTGGTTCCATCTCCAAGCTACAGATAAGGTGAGCCAGAGTGGAGAGGCTGAGGGCAGAGCCAGCAGAACCAGGGGTGGGATCCAGATGTGTGGCTCCTGAAGCCGGAAGGGGTCCAAAGTCAAAAGGGGAGCCAGGCCCACCTCGCTGCGGTGCCCTGCACTGCCCTCAAAACCCACCCCGCAGAATGGGCCAACACTTGTTGACTCCTCCATATGCTGGGTCTCACAGCTGTTTTCTCAAGTGCAGGCCGTCAGGGACCCAGATTTTCAGACGGGGCCGGACACTGGGATGAGGCCAGCCTGCACCATATCGGGACGCCTTCGAGGGCCTAGGCAGGGGTCCCGAAGGCCCATGGGAACCCAGACCGGAGCCCCCTGCGCCAGGCGCAGCCAGAGAGCCAGACGGGCCGGGTGCCAGCGCGCGGGGATGGGCGGCCGGGCCGGAGTTGTCCGCTTCCCCTCCGGGCCTGGCACGGCCAGCCCCTCTATCGCGGCCACAGTCGCGTCCAGGCGGGCGGGGACCTGGCGCCCCGACCCCAGGGCGCCCTCGTGCCGGCTCCGTGCGACCCCAGGAACCGTCTCCGACCCGGCCGCCAGGGGGAGCCGCAGTGAGCCGCGCTTCGGGAAGTGGCCCCGCGCCACCCCTTACGGCCCAGAGCCCGGCCGCCCCG